TCCTTTGCTTTACAGACCTGCAAAGGTTGTAAATGCAAGGATTGGTTGCAAAGTTACTTTTCCATCACCATCGTAAGCAAAATAAGGCAGTCGTTAAACAAGGACCACCTGTACAAGTGTACACACATTTTTAGTAGACCCAAAATGCTAGAATTTTACCTTTAATACACCAAAATTGCTAGATTGATCTCATGCTATATTTTTATGGTACATGTTAATTGCTATCTTAATAGATTTCTGGAGATGGTGACCATAATTTTTGACTAAATGATAAAGCTATAACATACCTTGTTCTTCATAAACAAGGCCCATATTAGAATGTGCTTCAGCTTCTTTCTTCCCACCATCAATTTTAATCAGTTGAGCAGTTTTGTAGCATTGTTCATAGAAATAATTCCTTAACCATCTGTCTTCAGGCTTGTTGAAGCAATAGGCTAAATTCAGCTGATTAGCGTAAACCTCTTCATAGTATTCTTCAATGAAAAGAAAATAATGATATCTTAATATTAAACACACTGTATTGTGTTTGTTTTTGTTTAGGTTTTGCTGCATTATAAAATTTTAACTAGATAAAATGTTATTTTGTGCTATATATATTGTAGGTAAGCAGCATTGTATATACACAAATATCTGTAAAAACAGATATTTGCTAATGTATTTTCAAAATACCTTTTGTGTCACCTCTCCATTGACACTGTCAATTTACACATCCTCACTCCACTTTCTATTCATGTTCCCTTCTCTCATACAATTGTTACAATTGATTATGTACCGTGACCAATATTATGATAGTTTCTGCTTCTTTTTTTTTCAGCATACACTCCACCAACACCTCATTCTGGTTTATTAGTCTACAGCGTGAATAGGAAGGAGATAGTTTAAGATCTGTTAGATCTCTGGATGATTTCCTGACTTGTAGGAGAAGCAACAATAAAACCCAGTCCTAAAACAGAGTAGATTTTGATGTGGCAAACCTTTAACTCAGCTGTGATACTGAAACAAATTCCTGAGCTGACTATTTACTCAGAAGTCTATATTGTCACCCCACCTATTTTCAGCTTCAGTTGGTTACTCAGTACATCAGCATTCAAAATACAATCACAAGAAATGTGTTTCCACCACAACAGAACAATATTGTTTAAACACTTCTTCAGTCTATTCTCTCATACATTCTATTCCTTTGCATTCAGCAGACCGCACTCCTATCAGTTTTCATGTGCTATTCGTGGTACTTTGGGCACTCTACTGCAGTTTTGGTTATTAAAAAAATGGTTCCGTCTGGATTGCTATTTTTCTTCTACAGAAATAATCCTCTCAAACTTGATTATTTAGAAGAGAAGTGAAATAGTTAGTCATTGAAACTGATATGAAAAACCTACAGATATGGGATGTTGATCTCCCTCAACAGCCTACAATGAAAGTGGGCAAAAGTACCAGGAAATTATTGTAAACTTTAAGATCTGTCAACAATCCTGACATTTAAATACTAGATCAAATGGTACCATCACAAACCCATTTTAGAAAAAAGAAAATTCACACACATATATAAAAGCATGGTTTTTAATATTACATAGTACATTCCATATTATATTTTCAGTCCTTAGAGTTATCCATCAAAAGCATATATAGCAGAAAATAATAACTACATTAAATGATATCACAACTATATTATCTGGAAACAGATAAAACGGAAAAGATAAAAAATGGAACATGACTAATTGGAAGAAAGTATTATCTAGAGATTAAAATTATTCTCCCTTTGCTACTGAATAGCAATGCAATAAACTTCAGTAAAATTATGTAAATAACTTGAGGTAAGTACCCTACAATTCTCAAGAGATGAAAGTGACCTGAGGCTGGTTACTGTTACTGTCGCAGCCTTGATTGAATGAACTTTAATGTGACCCTATACCCTAGTGTCTACCCACTCAGTGAATAAGAATAAGCAGTGCACCAAGACAACCATTTCAGTGTAATTGTTTTGGACACAAACTGGCCAAGTGGGCTGGAATCACATGAATAAAGCAAAGCAGTGTTAAGACATTCTCTTTTAAAATATCTCTTTGTATTTTTAAAATATAGAAATCTCAGAAACAATTTTGCTTTCACAAAGCATTGGCTATACTCATTTCAGAGTGTTTTGGGTTAATTTAATTAGTTTAGTTTAGTTTAGTTTAGTTTAGTTTAGTTTAGTTTAGTTTAGTTTAGTTTAGTTTTGGAAGAAAGACCTCTTTCATTGTCCATGTGGATAATCTTTGCCAAGAGAGAGGTAAGGGAATGAGATGGTGTGGATTTTCCTTTTAGCAGCTTTTAAAATCAATAAGTATGGTACTAATTAGTTCTAAAGGTGTGTGACTGATTGCACTGTTTTATGGTTCCTTTCATTTATAGACTCTGGTTTAAAAAACAGTATTGGTGGATTGTGGCCAAACCTCATAGCATTTACTGTATTCTGTAAAGATTTGCAAAACTTCCTTCTGTACCATCATGTTTTTTAACTGCATTATTGATGCCAGCCATCTGGGGATTTCAAGTGAAATGTCATAAGTATGATGATGTCATTCAGCTCTATTTCATAATGTTATTTCAAGTTTGCAGGAGCTAAGCAAAACCAGAAGGAAGTTTTATCTTTACCCTACTCTGGAACCTAATTTACTGACTGAAGTGTAGTCTAGATGTTTATAAAACAAACTTGTAATTCAAACAAAATTTAATCTGATCTGTATTGGGTAAATCAGAATGCAAGTAGAGGTTTCATTTGATTGCTCCTCCAAATAAAGTATCTCTAAATATTAAAACACTGACATATTAGAAAGAGAAATACCAGCTAGCCTTTTCTTTGACATGCTGATTTTCTATGTAAATGTGAGTTGCTTTTCTCTTTTTTTAATTTGGAATTTTCAATCATGTAGATATGGAATCAAACTAAAAATAATACAATTTTGTATTTGCAAGTTTTGCAACATTTAAAAGTTACAACTTAATAAAATGCAAACAACAATCCTGGGAATTGGGGCCACTTACCACCTACTGACATGGAAACAACCAGCCCCAAACCGTTTATTCACTCCCAGTGTGGCTTATGTTCTATCAACATGACTCTCGGAATTTTAAAAACACATATGTTTAAGTAAAATGCATTTAGTATTATTCTTAGTGTAATCCTCTGCCTTTAGTCTGAAATGGTACAACTTGGACAAAAGTTATTTTTAAAAGAATTTGGTCTTAAGCTCTCTGTATGTTTTATAATCACATGGGGAAATCATTTGGCAAACTAAATGTTTGCAAATTACAGAATCTAGAACAAGGAACACCTTGCTAGATTGCAAAAATCTGGACAACCACTAAAGAGCTATAGTTTTTGTATTTCTTCTTTACTGTCTAAGTGGTTTTTGGTCTTTTTTGCAGCCCAAGCCTGGAAGCCCTACTAGAATTTGAGAAACAAGTTACATTGTGCCCTTCACTCAGATGTCTAGTGGTTAAGAGAGCCAGTCTGGTCTAGTGGTTAGGGATCCAGGCTAGAAAACAGAAGACTGAGTTCTAGTCCAGTCTTAGGCATGAAAGCTGCCTGGGAGACTTTGGGCCAGTCACTCTCTCTGAGCCCATGATGTCAGGCTTGGGTGACAAGCTGATCGGTCAATTCCTGTTGCAACCAATGGATCAACGTTTGGTTGATCTGAAAAAAGCGGACCCTGCACCTACAGGAAAAACGTTAGGAAGGAAAAAAAAAACCCTCAGATATACAGTATGTAAGTCTTGCTGCAGAAATTTAGTTGGTTTCTATACTATTTAAATTAAAAATTTAGTTTTATAGTTAAAATGGTAACTATTTGACATTAATCAACTTGGAAAACCTACCTATATGCTTTCTATGGGGCTCCTGGCCCCATACTACATCTAGCATTATGTCCTATCCCTTACATAGAGGTGGGCAAACTTTTACTCTCTCTCTCATTTGTAGTCTAGGGTAAGTCATTCATTACATTATTTTAATTTCAAAACTGCCAGTCATACTGTTGCTTTTTTCAGCATGATGTGAGATTTCTTTCTCTGTCAAGTGGTCTTGATGCATTTTCTCAGTTATCCATCTAGCTTCTCATATTTTCCTATCTTATGGCCAATTTCAGCACTTCAACATAAATTATTTTTGCTAAAATTAGTGTGCTTAAAGGTGTGCGCCAATATTCAGGCCTGCTGTGTAAAGAGGCAATATTCAGTAACATGATTATGAGGAAAGCAACTGATTGATTCTTTAATAAAACATGTTAAGAGTCAACATTTTAAAGAATAAAGAAATATATGAATTGTGTAAGAAATAAATTTGTAAGGTTACTAGTTTTATCTGGAAATTATGTTTTAAATTTAAAAAAATCAATATATTAAAAAATGAATGTTCAGGAAAAATGATAATTGAATGATGACTAGTATAAATACATTGAAAGCATCCTAATAACTTCATTATAGAAATTCATTTTGTCAGCTGAATGTTTCATTCCAGCATTGGGATTCATCATTCAGAATTCCCCATCATTTACCCCCAAAATGCAGCTTAGCTGACTAAAGCTGAAAAATGCTAACTTCCAGAAGTGTCTCAAATTCACACATGAAACAATTGAAATCTTCCCTGAGGCACACATTGCTGCTCCATTACCCAGAATTCCCCTATTTACCTGATCGCTGGGCTGCCTCAGCTCTGGTCAAGAAATAGTGAAGCTGATCCAGCTTATCAGGCTGCTCCTCGAGGGACTTTTCCAGCCATATGGCTGACCCAGGCCCTGAAGCCTCCCTCAAGGCATTCCACTTCTCTATCAGAGTAAAGAGCTCAGCAAAAGACTTGTGATAACCCTGCCGTAGCATGTCTATGCAGATGTTCTTCTTGTATGAATTCCGGTAACTGGGAATTTGAAAAGGCCGATTTTAATCATTTCATTGTTGATTATAATCTCTTCCTAAAAAACTCAAACAACATATAAATATAATTAAAAGGTAACACAGTGGTTGTTACATCAGCTCTTTACTTATTAAAAATGCTGGCACATTTTCAAGAGAGACAAAAAGAAAGCTATAGTAGTTCTAGTTCTACTAAAACTGTATTATAAACAAGTCTTCTGCAATTGAAATCAGATAGGAATATCAGCTGAATTAATTTATGAAAAAAGGAACATCTAAACTTGCTGACATTTATTTGCTAGAATTCAAGCCTATATTTTGTTTAAAGTGGTGAGCAGTGGGAAAACTAAGCATATACTGCATGTCAAAACAATGTATATGTTAAACAATTTTGCTGGAGGTTATGGTGGTTTAGTTAAAATGTCTAACACAATTTGTTGAGACTAAGCTTCTTATATGTTATTTGCCTCTGTTCAATAACTGTCTTCAGTGAGGATTCATTAACACTGAAGTTTCATAATTTTTATTACTTTTTAAACCAAAACAACATATCCAAAAGATACAATGAAAATATATCTCAAAATTAATATATGTATCAGATATACATATTAGATATTTGTATAAATACATCTTTAATAGGCAGTTTCTCCCACCTGATGCCAACCAGATGTTTTAAATTCCCATAATGCCAAGCTAAAATTGTGCCATGCCAATTTAGGGTGACAGGGGCTATAGTCCAAGATATATGCAAGATATTATATTGGTGAGGCATTACAAGGCATAATTTACAGAAATAATCCAGAAGTTATTTCAGATCAGGCTTCCATCTATCTAGAACTCCATGAAGTCGATTACTTAGCCTGCCTGCCTCCTATCTCTCTCTCTCTCCCTCCATCTCAATTCACTTCAGCTGTTGCAATCTTGCATGTGCCCCCTCACCCTTAGTTTTCTTTTCTGTACCTAGAACCACCACAAAGTGTAATAGTAT